AGGGGAAGACTTAAGATCTTCATTGACGGACCCAAGTGGGGATGCGGTGAAGCAAAGGTATGACGATCGTAATGTCGTGCGGTAGAGGCATGAGGAAAAATGGACACCGCGGTCATGTAGCTCAGTAGGTTAGAGCGTCAGTCTAATAACAGAGAGCCCAGAACAGTCCGTCAGTGGCGTGGTGGAAAACTGGATGGCGTCGGCTGGGGTTCACGGCTCTCACTTTCGGTGCATTCGTCGATTCGCCAGGTCGTGCTGTAGATAGCACGGCCGCATACCATCGCACTCCACACGCCTCGTCGCGATTTGCTCGAATGGTGGAGCGCTAGCGTGTGGGCTGATACCCAAGTCGTCCAATGAGGCGTTCGGCTCAGTTCCCGTTTGTGGGGCGACCAAGAATATCGGTAACTGTTTTACCTTTGCTGTGGTCACTCGCCAGTGGGCACTTCGTGAGCCGGCACTGGCGGTCTTTTCAGTCTGGTACAGATCAGGCACTCCCTGATCATGCCTGCGACGTCCTTACCCAGTCCTGGCCAGCTGAATAGCGTGAGTAGCCGTTTCCTAGTCCTTGTTACTCCTAGGTGGCCGCTTGGCCCGTAGTGGAAATTCACCAAGACCCTTGCTCTTAATGGTCCCGGGACGTAGACTTTCCCCGTGCGCGTCTCGATGTACCATTTGCCTTCCCGGCGTACGCCTGGCACCCCTTCGGGTGGCATCGCCTCGTACGCCCGCAGGAATTCTTCGTCGGAGGGTAGGGTCGGTAATTCCAGTTGCTTACTTCTTCCTACCGCGCCTACGCGCATGGCTATCGTATCCAGGATAGCGTCCGACTCGTCATCCATGACTGAGTACCTTGGCAGCCAGTCCGCGATGTGATTCTGTTCACCTGAAAGGAACTTAATTGTGAAGTCATACTGGCTCAGGTGGAGGGCCCAGCGGAAGACCTTTCCTTTGTCGACACCTGAGAGGTACCGGAGGTTGTTGTGAGGTTAGCGTAATCTCTCCATTGGTCTATTGCCCATTTTACCGCGGGAGGGGTGTGGGGCAAGTTGCCCAAGGCACCCCTGCGGGCGCGGCAGCCGAAGTCGAGCAGCGACTCCAGCAAATGGGCCAACAGATAGAGCAGATAGCAGCGGCGCTGACCGCGAGCAGTGTCGCCAACCCGCAAGTAGGCTACGGCAGCCCCGAAGACCAGGAGAACCCCCATTTTGGGTGACGGCCCACGTGAAAGGTAAGTCGATTGACTTCCTTTACGATACGGGGGCCGAAATCAGTGTACTCTCGGAGCGAGAGAGGCGACGCGTAGACGCAGACTTGTCCGGCGAGAAAGTGAACATCAAGACCATCTTGGGATCAGGGGGCCTGCCCAAGACCCGGCCGTTAGAAGTGAAGGTAGCCGGAAGGACGAGACCAGTAAGTTTCGTGGTGAGCCGAGAGGACAACATGCCTAACCTACTGTCGGCACCAGACATGAAGCGGTCGAGAAATGTAGAGAACGCGCAGCGGTAATGTGCGCAAGGCGTGGGTACACGGAGGCATTGAAGCTGTCCGAACCCAAATACCAGGAACAGCCGGCGGTGACAGAGGAAGTCGAGCCGCCGTACAGTAAGCCACACGGAGCCAGAATTAAGGCAAGAATTGTGGACCCTCCTAGAGGGGTATCGGGATGCCTGGGAGCATCCGAAGGCCGCACAAGTGCGCTATGAGGCCAAGTTCGAGGTTACAGGGAAACCGCACAAGGCAGTTCGAGGTCGCAGGCATTACGAGCCGGAGATGCGACGCGAGCTGGAGAGCCAGGTAAAGAGGCGGCTGGAGCTTGGCGTCATAAGACCGTCCAAAAGTGACGGCGGCAGCACCACACTTTGTCAAGAAAAAGACTGGAGAGTGGAGGTGCGCATCAGACTACCGGAAACTGAACGAATCGATGGTATCCGACTCCTACCCACTGCCGAGGATCTGGGATCACCTGCGGAGGGCGGCAGGACGTAAATACTACGTAACGTTGGACATGAATTCGGGCTTCTGGAACGTGCCTATCGAGAAGGGGTGTAAGCACCTCACGGCGTTCATAACTCCGATAGGCCTGTTCGAATTCAATGTCGTACCCTTCGGGATCAAGAACTCGCCCGCCGGGTTCCAGCGAGCAATGGACACCTGCTTCGCCCCGATACTGAGTGACGACGTCTTCTGCTACATTGACGACGTCACCATATGCGGAAATGACCCAAGGGAGATCCTAGAGCAGCTGAGGACCTTCCTGGGCCTGTGCAGGGGCACCGGGTTCTACCTGCGGTTGGACAAGAGTGAATGGTTCAAG